TATTGTAATTTATAATATCACCTTTCTCTTATGTGGGGTAATCTTCATTCTATAGGAATTACGGGTTGTCTGTGGGGTGAAACGGTGAGAACCGTCGACCAAATGGAGTATATGGTTTTTCCCAGACTTCTAGCGCTGGCAGAGCGAGCTTGGCACAAAGCACCATGGGAAGATATTCAAAACGATGCGGAATTGAAGGAAAAAGTGGTTGAAGAATGGAAACAATTTTCTAGTTTTATCGTAAAGCATGAGCTACGAAGACTGGAAAAKCTTGGCATCAAATATCGTATACCTCCGCCTGGCATAAGGTTTGATAAATTGAAATAATGACCAATGCGAATTCAGTAGGGGTATGGCTTTTATAACAATCTGCGCCATCTTTCACTGATTCCAGTTAGGACATGAATGCGAATGATATGACAGCTTAGACGAAAAAAATAAATAAATGAATATATATCGGTATTTCGATGTTGTTCAAGGTTTGAAGGGAAATCTATCAAAGTACGAACCGCTTTACCAGGACTTCCAGTTCAGTTCTCCAAAGATGGAGGAAAATCGTGGCACGACGTCACTGAAGACACGCAGATTGAAGAAAACGTCATGGTGAGGACGAGGTAAAGTGAAAACGATGTGATGTTTTTTCCCTCGCTCTCTCATGTCTTTCTTTTTCGTTGATGCTCACTGTTATCCTATCTTTGTAGCCCTAAAATGTGGTTTCCCTTAACTCTTTTGTAGTTCAATAGATCGTCGGCGCATGAGCAGAACGATTGAAGTTCAAGGTCCAAAGTAGTTCCTGTTTGGTCCAAAGAAACCGATCAAAATAGTGAAGAATTTGTGTTAATTTTTTTCTTTATCAATTCATCTATTTATTTACTTATTTAAGTATTTATTGTTAAATTAATTAATAAAGTAATGTATTTATTTGATTTATTCATTCATTTGTTTATTTATCTATCTATCTAATCGTATGAGGAAGTGGCTGATRCCATTAAAGAGTGCTCAATACACATAAAGTGTAGAGCTAGTTATATATGATATCAAAGAGGCAAGATTTTGCTGTAACTCCGAGTTTCGAGCTACTCACTCATCAGACAGTATTTAATTAAATACAAATAGCAAAATCTTGCCTCTTTGACATCATATATATAGAGGATATTACATGGGCGCGCGGAGATACGGATTTTATCTTCGAGTGTTGAAAAGATCTCTCACGAGTGAGCTACGCTCACTCGTGAGAGATTTTCAACACTCGAAGATAAAATTCGTATCTCAAAGCGACCATGTAATATTCTGTTTATCATATAATTAAATATGAAAGCAAATTATGTCGGAAAATATCTAAAATCTAGCGCGTCAAGCTGTTTGTTTATTTTTTTCCAATATCCAGATGACAGGGTTCTTGCTACTCCTTGAAAAGCCCTGGAATTGAAAACTTGTTTTCAAGGGCACTTGAAAAGCCATTGAAAAATAGCGAAACTTTCCAAAACCTCCTGGAATACCTCTTGAACATGAGACATTTAACTTTTGGATTAAAAGGATACTTTGAAAAATCACCGCAAGGAACTTCTGAAAATATCACAAATATCTTCAAACATATATAGGCCTTGTAATATCAATGATGACATGAGACCACGAATATTACACGCACTTCGGATAAAGAATGAGGAAGAATCAGATATACAATGAAGCAAAATACTGAGAAACAGGGGAGAGGGGTGGGGGTGGAGGTCAGTTGTGACCTTGACTATATTGTGAAGCAACTAGACCAATTGAGCAATGCGGAAAATATAGCGAAAAATTTACATAACAATTCTCTAGAATCATACTACTTCACCAATACTAAGGGTGAACTATTCAGGTTGGACATCGGTCCGCTATTTTTGAAACCGTCTTTGTATGTAAAAAAAATTACAGGGAATTTACAAAATTTTTATTCAAAATTTAAATAAATTTACAGCATTATATCAAGACATCAAAATGGAAATAATAACAAAACAAAAAAACCACCGGATGTACGGACTGCTTCAATATGACGTCACGTATGTAAGGATTTATGCTTTGATCTGATTTAAAACGTTTGTTGAAGGAAAAAAGTTAATAGAGCAGGTTTTCAACGATAGCTACAATTGTAGCTTTGTACACGGTTGCAGAAGTTGTAATTCAATGTTAAGCGAAATTATAGATGCCGCAGTATACTTGTCCCGTAAGTGAGCCGTAATTTGCAGAAAAAACAAGAATAGAAGCTGAAAACTCCGTAGAAAACTGTATTCTCTTAAGGTAATAGCCATAACACAGGGTTGGGATTACAAAAAATGCCTGTGCTCATGCTATTATTCAGTCTTCGAATTTCTGAGATTTCGTTCAATGACCACAAAAAATCAGAAGTTCAAAAACCTTTTTAAATGAGGTATTTTGAGTCTTACATGATAAAACCGTGACTAGTATGTTATATATATTTTAAAATTATCGAAAATGTTTTCAAAAGAGTGCTCAACTTTGTCAARGAGCATTGTATAAAATAAAAAAATTGTATTAAGACTAGAATGTTTCATTGTTTTATTGCTACAAGCTATAGATTGTAACTTGCCTGAAGAGTGTGGCCATCTCTGATGACCATATGAAACCAACTAGTAGCACTGATAAAATGAATCTAGTCTTTAATTCTAGTCTTTAATGATATATAATTAGAATGAAATAGAACAAAACACCAACTTGAAGCTATAATAACTCTGTTTAATGGACGTTTCGGCACTTCGGCCTTCTTCTTTATTTTTTGGCTTCGGTAAAAAAATTGATGGATGACTCATCATTATGGAGTACCGTAAACGCTTGGCAATCGAAACACAAATGCTGCAAACAAAAATTGAGTCTATCAAAAAAGACTCAACCTCAAAGCTCAATCCTACTTATTTGACAAATTCAACTGAATTCGATAACGTTGTCACTACGGTTACAGACAAATATACGTAAGCACTTGCATAACAATAAGCCACCGTGCGTAATATAACACGTACGTACATAACAAGTGGAAGTCACTGATCCACGTTCGATATTACCACTTATTGACGCACTAAAGGAATGAAATGTTTGTGGGTGACATAATGATGAATCATCATTCTAGAAAACGATATGGCGATAACAATTATGATTGCAAAGATAACAATTGTAATACTAATTACTAACCCCTCATGATTGTAAGCCGCGTGGCTGCCAAGTGCGCCTTAAACAGCGGTCCGTGTGAAATGATCTATACATGTGAAGCGCCTTTGAACTCAGAGGATATCGGCGCTATATAAATACCACATATTATTATTAATTGTAGCATCGAATGTAGAAAAGAACTAGACGCTCCTGGAGCGTGAAGTCGGACTAGCTATTTTTGAAAATTGATAAAGACACGAGTGAAAAGATTACGATGTTATATTCTGTCTAATCATATGATTATATCCCGGGGGCCCCGGGGATTATATTATGAATGTAAATGGTGTAGAATATATGTTTTTTACTTCTAATACATAGTGAAAGCAAGAATGCATTACTTTCACTTAAATGTACTGTTCAAAACCATTTATTCACACGATACGATATTCTTTWTTTACAACTGAACTGATAAAATCTAACGTCAGACTAAATGTCGCTAAGTGATATATCTAATACGTTTTRAATTCAAATTGTTGACCTCTTAGGCCAAAAAAAGTCGCCTTTTTGTTATTGATAAACAAGGTTTCTTTTTGTTCTAATTTGAAATATTTGCCCAAACAAGACTGTCTAGCGCTAGAATTCAGTCTCGTAAGCATACTACTCGTACTTCTGATGCCTAGACCGATGCATTCCGATGAGATCACAGACAGCCCAAAACGCGACATGATAGATAGATAGATTGATTGGCTAAAAAACTTAAGTCGACCTAGGCTTCGGCTAATCCGACTAAAAAGCTGCAATTATAACTTGGTTGAACCTTGACATTAATATTGTTCATCCAACCAACATGGCCGCCGGTCTTTTGAATCTTTATAGAAATGAMTGAAAACAGCAAATTGATAGATTTGTGATTACACAAAACAACAATAATAATGTAGCAATAATGACATAACTGCAACATTTCTTTCTAGTAGATGCTGGTATATTTGAAAATATTTTTTATTAGTACTCCATGATTCAGCATGTTTGAGATACGCGTCTTTCACATAGGCAGGAAATAATTAGGTTAATAAGCTCTACACTTCTCATCAAATTCTAAAAATATAGTTCCGGACTCACCTTAATAACATCGCAAAAAACCCGAAGTTTTACCAAATTTGCAGTGCTTTTTTATGAGTTTTAAAATACATGTTATATATTATTGTTATTGTTATTTGATTCAACGAAAAATCAYTGCGTGCGTCATCTTCACGTTTCATCGCTTTACGTAGGYTTCGCACTCCYTCCGCCCACACCATCGTCTAGAGAAGATTAAAAGAATTACTAATTCTAGAATTCCGACATGGATTTAGCCTAAATGTGGGTGAGTATTTTTGATGTCCATATATTGATATCAAGCAAATACTTCGAAATATCCCAATGTTTGTTCCAAAGAAAGTGCTTTGACGTACCCTTAGGTAGAACCAAGTATATAGATTGAGTATAACGCTATGTTTTTACTGAAGTGAGGGTGGTCTGGGTTTATAGATATCCAAGTGTTTTTAATAGGTTCAAAGGTATCGATTAATGAAACTTAGCGACAGTATTTTTAGCTATTTGGTAGAAGGTTTTCGGATATTTCACAAACAGTACTGATCACAACAGTTCATGGGTTAACGTTTGCCTTACGTCGACAACACTGTTTTATCAGCAACAAGTTGTTTAAGTAGTTTCTACTTTTCGTGTTCGACTATCAATGTTACGAGTCGCGTTTTTCTCGTGTAAAAACGGACTGAGAGGCGCAACAGTCTACGAAGCCGTAAGATGTTTTCGCCGGCCAAAAGTGAAGCGATCAAATTATTGGTTGATACATTCATAAAGAATTTACGAAGATTCAGTTTGCAAATTGCTCTGGTTATATACRCYATTCAAAGGCCTCACTGATACCTTTTCGTTATGATCCTGCGTTGGTTTCAATTCATTTTGTGSACTGAAAACAATGCACAAAATCGAGTGTTGATAAGGCCTGAGGATGAAAACTACCATTGGCGTAATATAAATAATTACAACAATAATGATAACAATACTAATAATAACTAATATTAATATACATCGTGATCTCATTAAAACCGTGAAAATTATCAAACAGTGCAATCTGAGCGTACTAAGGTGTATTAGGTAATAAATATTTCACGGGTTTTTTGACTTCACTCTAGTTTTCCTAGACAAACATGTTTTCACTTTGTTCGGCAACTTATATTTTGTTAAAATGTTTTCGTACGTATAGGATTCATTATAAATACTCAGTTTTGTTCCTTCTACGTGTGTTTGTGTGTTTTTTTTTTACGTGTGTTGTCCGAAAGCTCGGAATATTAAAACACACGTAGAAGGAACAAAACTGAGTATTTATAACTTATATTTTGTTCATTTTATTCATATTTGGGATAGCGTTATCAATGAAATGTTACGTTTCAATCAATTGRATGATATATGGCAATCATACTGATGCTCCGTAAGGAGAAAACATTTACATTCTCAAGGCTTCCTGTCACAAAATATATTGATGTTTAAGTGAAAATGTCATACGGACGCTGCCTTGCGTAAAATGAGCTCGATGTCCTGCAGAAGACGTCACAGCATGTTTACATGACGACAGACTCGCGAAACAATTAAAATAAGTTTTACTAAATCCTGTTCCTCTCAGAAAGTTTGTGTCATGGATTTTCCTGAAACGCACAAAATTCAATTTTTGAAAATCAAATTTGAGGCCAATACGGCAAAACATTATACTACCAAATTACGACTTCGAGACATATGATATTGACAGCTAGTTATGAGATTATATCCTTCAGTATTGGTTAATTCAAAGATGAAGCAAATGCCTGAATATGTTTTCCGAGCAAAACCTTTGAATAATTGTGGTATCATGATGCTAAAAATWTGATTCCCGAACAGAAAACACGGAAAAATTATGCTTGAACGAAATTTTATATTCGCCTGACGTTCTCGTCTCGCACAGGTAGCGAAAGCTCAAGATTTTGATCATAAGACTCCAGGCCCGGGTTGTTCAAAGCCAGATTAGCGCTAATTCTGGGTTAACTCTTAGAAAACCTATGGAGTTTCTGGATTAACGCTAATCGGGCTTTGAAAAACCCGGCCCTCAGGTYCAAACACGAAAAGCACTAATCAAATAGTGTTAAACAGCGCTAAAAAGTGTGGAATAGACAATAAAAGACAAAGGATATTTCAATGAGATTTTATCACTTTTACTAAGTAAGCTACTTTATGACTTTATTGTTTACACCATAACGGCCATTAAATCCTTGAGCTTAACAAAATCTGACTATATAAAAGTTTAATAGTCAAATAGACAGAAAAGAAAACAATGCAATTAGAGCATACTAAGGCATGTATTAGGGTAATATCTAGTTCACGGGTTTTTTGACTCCAATACAATGAAAGCAATAGTACTAACTACTACTAAKTAGAGTTGTTTACACAATTGGGAACAATGGAATCAGCTAGCATGATTTTCTTCTAGATCAAAAGAGTAGTAGTAATTATYATAATTATGACTTGATCAAGTGCCCGTGTCATTCTTAAAACATCTTTATTCATGACTTACTTTTTTGTCTTCAAAAAATTCAGTTTCAAAAGCAAAAAAATGCGACAAAAATTATGCTTAGACTAAGTTTTAGTTTATTACATTATTGGTCAACAAGTTTCAAGAAAAAGGTAACGCACTTCGCTTGAGTTCAATATCTTCTGAACGTTATTTATTAGACGAAAAATAGACGGTTTGGACACGATATTGATGGCTGCTTGATTATTTAGAGTTATCAGTWRTAAAAAAATGTTTTCTCAACACTTTTTCCAGACCCAGCACARCTTAAAAGATGCAGCGCTATGAAAATGTCCAACAACGGGGAAGAAGAGTGAACAAAAATGGAGGCAGAAAATTTTCTGGCGATCGACCTAGATCGCCAATTCCGAATTCCGCTTTTAATGACTATCACGAAGACATTGGAGACAGCCAAAGTGTGTACAATTTCCTSGCGGAATCAGGGGACTATGAGGATTCTGGGATTTCTGATTTAGAAATGAGCAACTTTACAAACGAAGCCAACCTTTCTTACGCCAGAGCAAGAGACAGGTTAACCCGACAGAAAGACGGTAGAAATCGTCAAGAATCGCTCGAAAAGTATGAGAACGAAAAAAACAATGCAATCACCCCACCGCCCTACGAATACGACGTTCCTAGATTTCGCCGACCTAAACCTGTTCCAAGGCAAAATGTCGACGAAACTATAACAAAACAAACACCACCCATTCCATCACCTAAGCCTCTTACTAGATCAATGAACTTCGATGAAAGCAATCAAAATGAGAATGAATACGTTCCCGATTTTAAACCTTCCCCAAAACCAAGATCTGGATCATATGACAACGATGAAAGAGAAGAGATTCGGCCCCGATCCCCAAGACAACAAGTCCTAAATGACTCGAGTCGAGGTCGGCGAGTTTCAGAAATCGTTGAAGCAATTAACAGGAGTAGAAGTCCAAGCCCGAATCGACCAAGGAAAACGAGCGAACATCAGCCAGCTTTTGTTGGAAATGATAACTGGATTTTAAAGCAAAAGCCTAATATTGTGGAAGGGAGAAGTGGCATTTCAGGCCCTAGCGTACAAAGTCGAAAGGTTTCAGATGTACAGAACGTAGACAGAATAAGTGATAACTGGACTTCACATCAACGTAACAGCGTCGAAAGTATTAAAGGAAGCAGAACGCCGAGCCCACAAAGAAGGAATTCCGAAATTCAGACAGCTGACAATGAGAATGATAAAAGGATTTCAAGAACGCCTCACATTGTTGAAGGTTTTAAGCGAAGCCGAATGCCGAGCCCTAGACCACAAAGAAAGAGCTCCGAATTTCAGCCACCTGACATAAGAAATGACCACTGGACACCTCCAAAAGCTCGGCATAGTTTAGATATCCCACCATCCGATGTCCATTTTCGACCAGTACCGAGAGTAAGAAAAACTGCCCGACAAGAATCGGACGAAGTTGATATTGGAACTCCAGAAGRTCTCAGAAAAGGACATGGAGGCTCCTTCGAGAAACTTCCAATGGAAGAACAACATCTTTATGAAACTCTTCACCGCCGTGTCTCCAACAATGAAGAACCAACATTTCCTCAGCAAGACCCCGAMTATGACGAATTACCATCAGACATTGGGATGGAAAACTGGCTGAAAAATCAGCCAGAAAACGTTCCGAATGAAATAGAGGCAGATCTATCACTCGCACCTGAAGATGATCAACATTTGGACTTCTATAGAAAAACATCGACGGCTGCCAGCTACGCCTCTCGCGGGGCATCTGTAGCATCAGCAGGCAACTACGACCTTACAGTTGCCCCAAACGAAGAGGAAACTGAGGAAGAGAAGGAACAAGACACTTGCCAAAACTTCTACCTCGTATTAACTAAATGGATTGCTGTAATATTCATTGCGCTGATTGTACTTGCATGTGTTACTATGAACAAAATCTGTCTATTAATCATTGGTAAAGAGCACTCCATGCCAAAAGATTCCAGCAGCCTCAATAAAGTAGGGAGAAAAGAATCAATCTTTATAATGCTAACAATCATTTTAATGGTTCCGCAAGCGCTTTCATTTCTTGCTGCAATCTGGGGTAAACATAAAAGTCAACCATGGCCATGCCGGACTTCTGTACTATGGGTATGTATATTTCTGATAATAGTAATTTATACTTGAACGGTACCGACATGATTACAGARTTTTAATCATTTCTTGCTTTTGCCATGATTGTTGCCATTTGTCGTGCATTGTCCAATACACCTTTAAATGYCAATTTCGTTATRATAATGACAGATTCATATCACATTGAATTGAATTAATSGAAAGTTTAATCAAATCCACTCCGGCATATTTGTACTGTAAAATAATAGAGAAAAAGGCCAAGAAGGCTGTTACGCAATCAATTTTTCGTTTGCTATATCCGTCACYGCGGTCATCTTGGTTTAACTTCAACAAACGATTTTTCATCGGTATCTATTATTCATTAAACCAACATGGCCGCCGGTGTTTTGTCTTTTGAACCTCATGTGAATGAATGAAAACGAGCTATATATAAATAGTATTGAAACTGACTATCTACAAAAATCACTTATGCTTGAAAGGAGTGAAGGAAATTGCGGGCGTACGTCATTTGACATATTTGAAAAAAAAATGGTTACAGCACAGTAATATTTCAAATCACATGCTCTTCAGCCACACGACATACAAACACGTGATAGGTAAAATTCACTCAAGTAAAGAAAATCAAAATTACTATTTGTCTGGGAGGGAATCGTGCTTGGACAGGTTTAAGCAGTGCGTCTATAATGTATTTTCGTATTTTTGAGGTGAAAACTCCACATTTTAAGTTACATTTCAGCAAGAAAATCCCCAAAAAAGTGGAAATTCGGAACCATTTATATTCTTTAAAAAGTAGAACTTCAATTTATCTACTTCTCTAAATAAATTTCATGTATTGCTCATGTATATTTTACTTGATATGCAGTCACTGATCCCGTCTGGCGACTATAATCTTAGCGTTAGAGCAATAGAATGTTTTGATGTGACGTTATAATGAAGTAGGGCAATTGTACTTCATAAAAGGGTCAATGCATTACCGAAAATGTTCGGACTTTGGTCCCCATACCCGACAAAACACTAACGTTTAATAGCTGTAAGTTTTATATCTTTTCATGGTGTGTAGTTTTGACTAAAAAAAGGTTAAAACATTTTTTTATTGCAACTGTATTAAGTGTGTGAAAAATAAACTATGACTTATGACATTCGCTGTTATTTGCTTCTCATGCTGACGCACATTTTCTTCTATGTTAGATCATCTTTGGGGGCATCATCGAAGCGTTTTGTTTATCGTATTTATGTATCTACGCTGTTACAGTCTTGAGCAAACACCCGCACATTTTCCTTCTGTTTATGTCGGGTCTGTTCTTGATACCAACGATCATCCAAGTCTACGAATCATCACGAAAATGTGACACCACCGATGGAAAACGCCGTACAGCTTTGTTCGTACTAGCTGCAATCTTTCAAATTGGCGGTCTTACGACTCTTTTCTTCATGGAGGGGGTAAGTAGTCTAKCAGGCAACTCTTAATGATTTGAAGAAGTCAAAAGTGTACAACCAAGGCCCTGAGTATAAAGGAAGATATTGTGATTGTTCACGTAAAATTAAAGTTGTTCATCAGGTTTTATTACAATTTACAGTTACATAAATGGCCCTTCAGTATAAAGGAAAATATTTTGATTGTTCACATAAAAGTTGTTTTAMGTTTTATCACAATTAACAGTCACATAAATGCAAGCTTGTGTTCTTTCAGCGCTAATATTTGCCTTTTATTTCAGCTAACTGAGACACGTGATAAGATTGGCATTCCCCTTGCACTTGTTCTTTTGTCAACGGCATGGTCTCCTAAACTGCGTCGACTACAAACACAATCCTCCTCCCCGAGYCACGCTCAGACTCCAGAGACACCTCGTCGAAGTACCGCGACAAGTCCAGGGCTCGATTCCCGATGGTCGACAATGGATGGAATGTCCACAGCTTCAACGATTGACGAGATCTATACATCTACCTCAACACGGTCAGCCAGAGAAAAAGCAGCCTTGGTTATGTCGATGGTTAAGTTAATTGCAACACCCATTGCAGCTGTCATCTTATCTTTGATTTTGAAGTTCGCTGAATTACCTCATTATAAAGAAGGCTTTCGTTATATCAATCCCGACCATCCAGTGTTTTACTATTTCCTAGTTCAGATTTTTTCCACTCTTATTGGGTACCACTTTGCTTGGCTCGCCTGCTCCATGTACACCCAGCGCGCGGCCTTTGCCTTGCCCATGACCTTAGCAACTCCTCTGGCAATAATATTCATCGAGGTTAAACAACTGTGCGATAGCTCCATGGCGCCATTAACATGTGGGCCACAAAAAGGCAGAGATCTGATTCTCCTCATTACCGCYCTGACTCTTTTACTTTTGGGTCAATTCATGTCGACTGGATACTATGTGTGGGCCAACAAAGGATARATCATGGGAAAGGCGTCYCATTTGTTTTGGCTTCCTTCCTACACAGGTGTGTGTCACATTGAACTYAGTTTTCCTTTTGGATTCGCATAACTAATTTAGACGCAATAGTTTCAGGCCGATGCTGGGTAAATGCAGTACATTTTTAGAGATCCACCTCCCCGCCTCGACAATGAATTCACTTATGATTGACTGATCACTTATGCGAAGGCACTTTTTCATCTCTCAAAATGATTTTAAAATATAAATATTTTGGATATTCATTTCATTATCATTTCAGGCGCACTTCTTGAGCCCTTCCTGCTGTTAAACCGAAGAAATAAAGTCACTGATGATTCCCATGTGACATCAAAACACCTAACAAGAAAAACATATGTCTTCATCTGCTCAACTATGTACCACGAAGAACTTTACGAAATGGAACAGTTGCTAGAATCCATACACGATATCGATAACAACATTCAACGGGCCAAGCGACATGTTGAGTCTCACATCTTCTTCGATGGTGCACTGAAGGCCGAGGTTATGAACGAATATGTCCTACAACTAGCTACCATAATCAAAAAAACTCTCAAAGTGGAGCTCAACAAAGCCAGAAAGATACGAACTCCTTATGGGATGCAGCTTCAATGGGTGCTACCAGGTGGCTTACCAGTAACCATCCACATGAAAGATAACACCAAGGTAAGCCTTACTGCAGATCGGTGGCCATTGAATTGCTGTAGAAGAAGTATTTATGAACGGTGAACAARGATCAGAAAGCAATTGATGTAACCAGAGCCAGCAACGGCTACTCGGATGGCCATAAAATCGATATGGAGTGTTCGGGTAATGGCTAATATCACAAATTGTCGGCCTCATGGTATAAATAGGTATTGAGTCAATGTTTGTTGAAGAAGAGGTATTTATGAACGTTGACCAACAATCAAAAAACAATTGATCTAACCTGAGCCAGCAACGGTTACTTGGGTATACTACTTTTTTTGGGGAAGGGTGTCAGTAAATGACTACATCTAGCATCATTGACGATTATCATCATGATTAACTTTAAGGTTAAGAACAAAAAGCGTTGGAGCCAAGTTATGTACATGTCATATGTTCTCGACTACAAACAGCGTCTTCTACAAGGCAAGATATTTCCTTTAAATAAGCTTCATTTTAGTAACTACATTTAATTAATGTCTACACAATAATCAAGAGGAACTATCATGACCTTTTTTCCGTTTTTACAGTGAATGACGATGAGACTTTCATCTTAACAACCGACGCAGATGTACATTTTACGCACGATTCAATGGAGGCACTGATCGATTACATGGTGCAGGACGACAGAATAGGCGCCGTATGCGGAAGAACACATCCAATGGGGAATGGACCATTGGTGTGGTACCAGACATTTGACTATGCTGTTGGTCATTGGTTCGCYAAGGTATCGCAAATATCGAATATTTAAAATCGATATATAAAAAACAACACYYAACACARTCAATACAATTTGAAATTTGAAAATTAGAYTTTGAGAATTACAGCTACGATGGAACTTCTCATTAACGTTTTGCCATGAAGATCATAACAATAGAAATGCGCAATGAAACTAGATGTTGATTTTCATATCACCATGCATCACCATCAAGTTTATCTTAGCAACGAAATCAGCCTAGAAGCGTGCAGAATGAGAAGGGGAACTTTTCAATATCCACCCAAAATTGCGATTTTTAGTCAAAATCATTTAGTGCCTGATGTTTGTCGACCCCAAGAACTTGTTCAACGTACCTTTCTCCAGCTTCTTGTCTCTTACTAGGTCGCAAACCACGTTTTTGGTTCAGTGTTATGCTGTCCAGGGTGCTTTTCTCTTTACCGTTGTAGAGCGGTAAGAAGTGTCCTTCGGGAGTATTCCAGTAACGTCACCGAAGCGTTTGAATTCTTGACAAAAGATATGGGTAAGTCTTTCATAATGACGARTTCCCATAATTACATTAACATAATACTGACTAATACTGATAATGCATTTACAGGTGAAGACCGCTGGTTCTGTACATTAATGGTTGAAAATGGATGGCGTCTAGCATACTGCGCTGCCGCAGAAGACAAAACCTACTGTCCCCAAGAATTTGAAGAATTCTACAAGCAGAGGAGACGATGGATGCCCTCAACGTTGGCAAATTTGGCCTTGTTGGTCAGTAAGTGGCGGATGCTGTTGACAAATAACGAAAACGTCAGCTTCCCATTTATTCTTTTCCAAATCGTGCTACTTGTGGCAACACTTATTGGGTGAGTAAGTTAAAGCATTATCCGCACACTTTACGGTTGGAACAAGGGTACATAAAGGATTGTCCACAYTGGACAGCGCTTGTGATTCAACATAAATTGGAACGATGGTGTATTTTATGTATACTGAATCGGACCAGTTGCACATCGAGCACTGTCCACTGGATGGATATGGATAGGAAACAGCCAGCATTTCTTCTTATTACCTCTCTAAACAAACACAACATTAAATATACAAGGGAGTATTATAAAWATATGGCATCATATGTACTGAATTCAGCTTTTATTCAACAGACCATCGATCGTAATACTGTTTATTGTTGGTGGACTTTTGTCGTTGAGCAGCGTAGCCAGCGAGGAAGTAATTGTCATCCTTTTTTCAATACTGACCATGGCGTACGCAATGATTTGTCTCTTTTTCTCCCAAGGTATAGTAATTACGAGATTTACTAAAAACGTTGATAACTTACAAACTTTGTAAATAGAGTGCACGTCACATAAGCATGAAACAATTCTTAATATGTATTGCTAAATAAGATTTAGTTATCAACTAACTAAGAATTGAGAACAATGCTACAAAGGAATTTAAATAATTGGCATTGWGTTTATGTTTTGTTGAATTCTTAGTTAGTTGTTAACTAAATCTTACTTAGCAATACATATTAAGAATTGTTTCATGCTTATGTGACGTGCACTCTATGTAAATATAGTGTAAATTCAATTTACAAAACAAAATATCCTTAAGTGCTTTACAAAGTATGTAGATTTTATGTACTTCTGTAAATATCTTTAAATTTTGCTAGATCACACATCGTAAATATKTTGTAAAATCAATTAACAAAGTTTGGAAAACGACATTTTTGTCTGTAAATTGAATAATTTACAGCAAATTTACAGACTCAGTAAATTGGTTGGTATGAAATTACAATTATAATCAGAAAATTTTGGGTTTTTGTTGTCATGTAATACTATATTCAAAGTAACATCATTTTTGCAGATATTCAAATCAAGGTGGCTAAGTTCTTGACGTTCATATTCGCCATCATCATGATTCTTGTGACAATCGGCTTGTGCACACAAATCGAAAGGGAGGTGACGAAGAGGAAGACTTTAAATGTCACTGAAGATACTCCATTTGCGGATAGACTCCCAGCGGGTGTCAGTACTTTGTACCTCGGAGGCTTGTGCGCCATTTTTTTTATAACAGCATTACTGCATCCAAAGGAATTTTTAAGTTTGATTCATGGATTTTGGTATCTGCTTTGTCTGCCATCTGGTTACCTTCTTCTCACAATTTATTCCATAATAAACATGACAGATCGCTCATGGGGTAAGTGAATAAYTCAAAATTTTTGAAGTCAAGTAAAATTGTGCATGCCTTACGGTGGAGATACCAAACAACAACTTTTAAAAACTTCTTCTAATTTAAAAAACTCCCGCCGCACATGATAGGAAAGTGTGTAAGTTAAATACCACTCGATTCGCTTTGATGACCGGGTGCGCACCATTTTTTTCTCTTCACGCTGATCATAGCGTCTCGCGTGGCATTTACTTTCCTATTGTATGCGACGTGTTTTAGAGTGCAAGTAGAAAGGTCTGGTGATCGTGTGGTTTTAATCTTTTATCCCAGGAACACGAGAGGGTAAAACTGGCGCAAACACAGCCATTGGACAAAGCGAAAATCCTTTGGTTACGCTGTGGAATCTGTTTAAGACTAAATGCAGTTGTTGCTTTAAATGTTGTCAACAACCTCAAGCTTCAACAAAAAYCGAGCCCAAAGAGCCAAGCAGATCCAAAAAGCTAAGCAGATCAAGTCAATTCAGCTCAAAGGTATTAAACATATCTCATAACTTGGCTTACTMGGTGTGACACAATGGCCTTTTGTCAGTTTTCATAYAAAGRGTACATGATGCYCTTAATTCTAAAAATGTACCTTTTTTAGTTTAGAGACAGAATCAGACACCCTCGTACTYGCAAAAACAGAAGTCGACAAGGGTCTAAAGATTTTGATACCGAAAGTGAGTGTAGTGAAGCAGCATCTTCCGTCTTCTCCACTAAAGCTGAAAAAAAGCAAGCCGAAAGAGCAGCTAAACGAAAAGTCCGACGCCAAAGTACATTGTCSAAGTTAAGAATGGTAAATTATACATCGAATATCAAACAGGAGTTACCATTTCAAGATGTTAGGATATGATTTTCCAAAACAAAYTAACACAATAAAAGTGGACACCATTACCTTTTAAGGCCCGTTTACACTTGCGATTTTTGCATTGCGATTGTCGCGCGACAATTGGCACTTTGTTCTGTGGCGCACCTCAAATCGTACGTGTAAACAGCCCTGCGATTGTCGCGGCGATTGAAATTCGTCGCGACTTGCAGCTAAATTTRAAGCATGTCGAAAACTCAAGCTATTAACGCGACAATATCTCGCTTCAAACATCGAAAGTGTAAACGGGCCTTTATAGTTATGTCAAATTGACAAGCAACTTTAGAAACAAAAGTATTCGTAAATCACCATCACATTTGGTAACTTCATATTATCAAATGACATATTTGTGTTCATATAGATATTAGAATCTAAAAGTCAGGGCAGCGAAAGCGAAGCCAGTGATTCAGCTGAGACGTTGAATTCGCCTTTGCCATCAAAAACGGGAAGAGAAAAAAATGTGGGCGATGGAACCTTACGTAAAATCATGGTAAGTGGAATTATAACCTTTAAAATAAGTAACCTATCCTGCTACATTCAATCACTGGTTGGTGGCAAGTAAGACACCTAAATCTTTGTTCTGCAGAGACCGRGAAGCAAACGAATTGCAGAAAGCTAGATCAAGTAGTGGGGGGGGGGATTTGGAAATTTTTAACCTCGCCAATACGATTTCCACCAAATTCTATGCAGTGAATCCATGAAATATTCCTTGACATTGCCAAAAGTTATTGGGAAATCAAATTCATTGACAGACGGTACAGCTTACTTTTTCACATTTTCTAAAGTGCAGATAAAAAAAATGTCAAAAAATAGTTGTGGGGCTACAGCTCCCAAGCCCCCCTGCTCCGCGATCCCTGTTCTGCACCATTGTATAGGAGAATCTTTGCAGACTAATTTCACTTTTAACAAAATTCACTTTTGAACATTAACACTAGATCATGGAAAGTTTTCTAAAAAATCCATTCAGCTACTTCCTCATACAATTAAAAAATCCATTATTTAGAATGTATAGGCTCATGCATCAAGGTAATTTATTTGAAGGAAATACGGAAAAAATTAAATGGTATTCAGTGGGATGCAGATCAAGGTGATAAAAGAGGAGACAGAAGAGAGGATTCTATCCATACACCAAAGCCTCCAGGAAGCCCCAGGATTGCAATAACTGTGGCGGACGACGGACCAGTAGATTACGAAGAGGACGACGTCCCATCTTCTGGTAAATAAATGGAAAATTTAAATATAAGTTTAAACTATTTATGTTTATTCGTCTTTCCAAATACAAGTTAACATTCGCGAGCGAGTGCCTTCAATGTGCTTTCAGGAGCTTATATTGTTCCAGTGGAATTAAAACACGAACAAGCGATAACTCTATATTAACAAAGAGTTTTACTTCAGATTWTCTGATATGTTCTTTTGTAAAACAAACCTAGAGGATGAGCTTTCCAAAGTAAAGTCGCTTATTTCCTTTCTTATCCTTGTACGTAGTAAATTAATACGAACTGTATCATGAGTYCKAAGTGCGATTACYCAATTTGTGTGCATACAGCYCCAATCGCMCGCAGCGCCSAGCACAAGGAGCGGAAATTGGTTTTGATATTGTATAAAAKGTTCACAGTTTTCTCACTACAATTTCGWTTTTTCATCAGATGTGTTTGGAGCTCTGGGAAATCGGGGATACGTTCCTGATAATGACCTACAAAATCCCGTTAGAAGAATAARACAGGGAGCACACCCAACTGCTCAACAAACAGACTCCTTTGAAGGAAGCTCAGACTCTGCATACCGCACGGATATTTCTTCGKTATCCTATACATCATTAGTCGTTCCTCCTGCACGAAYGAWTTCAACACTGGCAAATAGTGACGATGATGATYCATCAACATATTACAACGCATCATGTATGTATACAGCTATTTAAGAAAATGTTGAATACTTGAGATGTATGCCAAGTCCACCATGCATTTGTGGTCGATCTATACRAMCTAAAAGCAATGAAAAGCAATTAAGCTTGAAAATGTTATTTCGTAAKYCATCTAACGTAGAATTTAACAGCAACAATTTAATGAGGTTTTGGAATGAACTATGCCGCCAGAATAGAGTATTCAGTATTCAACGTTTTCTGAAACAGCTKTCATTAAATGCGTTTCTCAATTTTATCCAAGAAGCGCAAAGAAGACATTTGTGTAGTCTAATCCTAAATGGTATACCAAAATTGATATGAATGTTCACGTCCATGGTCTTCTTCGACGACCGTAGAGCCTGCAATGATATTAAGTATTAAGTATTTGTAGGTGCGATAGAAGGTTTCTATCATTTCACGCACATCAGTCCTCTCGCTTCGATACAAAGGCACGGTTACATCCCAAKATGGCGCAGGGAATAGTGCAAGGGACTATTGCACCTCTGTTCCTAGCACTTTGGTGACTTCAATTCAAGTGATGGCGCAAACCTGAAAATTTGTCATTTCTGCTTGTAGATACAACGATGGATGACCTTCTTACTTCTGACATTTCTCTAGACATGTCAGTTGAAGAGTGGCTTAAAGG